CTAAATGAAAACCAATAAATGGCAAAGAAAAACATGAAACAAATTGAAAAAAAAATGTTTTATTTCGTGATAAACAATAATTTCATAGTAAATGATACGCAAGATTTGTTCTGTTTGTTTTATGTACAACTCTCCTAATGCATAGCGGTTGATCATGACATTTTATCTATTCAATGAGTGTAACCGCTGTTGAAAATAACCGCAAAAACAAAAATTTTAACTGTTTGAAAAAAATCAATGTATTTCAAAATCTATCAACTAGTTATCTACTGGCTCTGAAATATCTCAATTCGGTTACGATAGACTTGGAGAAAAATTTAACTAGTGTATCCTGACTTTCAGAATTCATTGCAGATTTACAGATGCTTGATGCAACATTTTGGGAGCTTTGCTTTACTTTATTGAGTGCTACATAACATATCTATTTCAGTAGTGTTTGTAAAAGTTTTTTTTTTTTAGATATGTTATATTGATAGTAACAGCTGTGAATTTTTTCCCTATTCTCATCTTATGTATGACAAAACAATGTACGAATCATTTTCTCTTTATTCGGAGTGTTTTTTTTTCATTAGTTGTTTTTCTAAAAGTAGTGCAATAATTTTGTCGGTCGCTCTGATAACATAATTGTACTTTTATGAAAAAATTTGTTATTCCGTCAGTGCATCTAATCGATGTAAATAAAATAGAAGAACAGAATATTGGTACTCACTACAATTCTTCTTGCTAAATAAAATGCATCATCACTATACTTCAGTAAACATCGCTATGATTGCTTTTTGAAAGATATTTGTTATTGATAGTGACGATGCGGTTTTTTTTGCGTCGTCATCATGTTATATTAGTGTACAGAGGTATATTACGTTGTTTTTCTTACTCTCTATTTTATCTCTACTATATAAACATGGAAATTATATTGACGTTAATTACATAAAATAAAGGTAAGGTAAGGTAAGGTAACAAGTCTGTTAGTAAAAGAAAGATGACGAGGAGAGTTCCTAAGGATCTGCAGAAGATACTGATGAATTCATCACCGTTGTTGTCATTATAAAAAAAACTATGAAAGATTAACATTACTATTACGATTTCATATCAGATATGGCATAAGAAGTCTTGTAGATAGTCTGTTAAAGGAAGCAACAGCAGAACTTTTGACATGAATTGTTTCTATTTAAACGATTTCCAGATAAATAATTTTAACAATATGTCCAGTTATGCTTCACAACCTATTAGTCAACAACGAGAAAGGTTAGTAATCTTATTTTCTACTGGTTCGTTCGAAATACTATAGTGTATGTTTATAGTGGTTCTCAAAGAAGTGGTGAACAACGGCCAATATCATCGTCGACTGTTTCCCAAAATAATGAACCAGAGCGACGTCAATCATCGAGATCTACAGAAACTGCAAACAGTAGACACCATCGCAGTGATAGAGTAAGTAGATTTGTTACATGTCTCAGAGTGAAAGGAAATTTCTTTATTCAAATGTAGAGACGTCCAGTAATATTTGTAATCTATTATTCGATGTATGGACATATTGAACGTATGGCAAAAGAAGTCTGTGACGGTGTTGAATCTACAGGCTGTGAATGTCGTCTATTTCAAATAGCTGAAACATTACCCGCTGAAGTTCTTGCTAAAATGCATGCTAAAGAAAAGAATAGCCAAATACCAATTATCAAAGCCGAACAGTTACCCGAGGCTGATGGTATCATTTTTGGTATACCTACTCGTTTTGGCTCGACACCAACACAGGTCCGTGCTCTATTTGACCAATGTGGTGGTCACTGGATGTCTGACGCACTTTTCGGCAAGCCAGTAAGTTTTTTCGTTTACTCTCTCTTAGAATATTATCATATACTTTTGTAATAGGTAGGCGTCTTCTTCTCAACAGGTTCGATCGGTGGTGGTCAAGAAACTACAGCACTCACCTGTGTGACCTTTTTTGCTCATCTTGGGATGATTTTTGTACCACTCGGTTACAAGAATAAACGTTTACAGAGCAATGATGAAGTACATGGTGGATCAGCATATGGTAAATTCATTCATTTTGTTTTTCTTCTCTAAATTTTCTTTTCTTCATCGTATTTAGGTGCGGGTACACTTGCCGGTGACGGTTCAAGACAACCAAGTGAACTTGAATTGGATCTTGCTAAAAGTCAAGGGCATCAATTCGCAAAAGTTGTGAAAAAACTAGCACGTTGATCAAATTCACTAGTTTTATTTTTCTTAACATTGATTCTCTCGTATTAACGATACAGATGTATCGAATACATCGCTAATCTTATAGATAAAATACAATAAAATAAATTTATCTTTAATTTAAATAATTTTTCATAATCACACAGAGTTTCGAGGATGTGAATGTGGCTATAGAATGAAAGGATCTATGTACACAAAGTGCGGACTGCTATGAGAAAATCAGTCAATAATAACAAAAAGAACTAAATACAACGATACCAAACAGAATCAAAACTTTCTGTACCGCTTACGACAAATTCGTTGTTTAGGAAAAAAGAAGAAAATTCGTTTTTTTTCTATCATTTTTTTTCCCGTTAAACCATATCACGAGTCACCGATGACTCACATCACTCCGAACGGGCATATTGTTCAAAGTCATTGCCAAAAAATATTAGATATTTATTATATAAATAAATAAAAAAATACTATGTAACGGTCAAATAAAATCTTGTAATGTCTTTTCAACAATTGGAAGAAGATCAGGTGCTTGTTCTTTGTATTTTTTAAGTATCTGTTCGATAATTATATTATTATTTTCAACATTTGTTGTTGATTTTATATGTGCTGATGTCAATATAATTCCATATAAAGCTCTTATATTATTTGGATTATATTTAATTGTACTAAAATAATAAGTTCGAGCGTTTTCATAATCACCTTGTGAATAACAAATCGATGCATAACGTTGATGATTTAAATGATTATGTGGATTTATTAAAAGAAGTTCTTCAGCACAAAATGCTGCTTTTTTATAATCATGTTCCGATAAATAAAGATCACATAATTCACTCCATGCTTCTTGATCAGCCTTAAATAAATTATATAAGAATAAATTATAAATCATTATTCTATTTACTTGATAAACTTCTAAATATGAAGTTAATTCACTGATTGCTTCATTTATTTTATTTTGATCTTTTAAAATACTTATTTGTCTTTTACGTACAATTCCATCTGTTTCATTATCTTTCAATAATGTTGAATATATTTCTTCAGCTTTATTATATTCACCTATTGATTCGTAATACATTCCTTGTAATATAGATATACGACGACTTGTTGATTGAAATTGTTTTATTAATTGCTCAAGACATTCATAAGCAATTGATCGTCGAGAAGAATGTAGAGCAGATTTAAATACTTGTTCAAGTATTAACCATTTTTCATCGCCTAATGATGATAAATTACGTTTAGATAAAACTTCTGTCCATAGTTGAACGATTTCATCATATGAACGATAATTTTCTTCACGATATGTACGAAGTTTTTCAACAGCAGATTGCATCTAATTTTAGTAAATGATTGATGTTTAATTTTCATATGACACTTCAAAATTTTATTGGTAATTGAAGGTAACCGATAGAAGTCATATTTACATAACGAAATGGTTGACAGAGTCATCTACGTTATAATTTATTATAAATTAATTCACTAACATATAAAGAAGAATATCATATATCATTTAAGTTCAGAAAATCTGATACGAAACTTTCTGCAGATTCGGTGAGTTCACTCAGGGTTTCGTATATTAGACACTAAACTTATCCTAGTTTCGACAACTGTGTATTAGTTAATATTTCAATATGAAATAAAGATAAAAAATTAGCTAATGCATATAGTAATTTCAGGAAATTTTGTATTTTTATGTACTATATTCTGCACAAAGATGTCCTTATTACTCATTAGAAATTGTATTCTAAAATTTAATTATAATTTTTTTTTCATATCAACTTGGATATGTTTATCTCAGTTATTAATTTCATGAATTCTTCATCTTATCATTTCTTTAATCTAGTAAGTAAAAATTTTCTTTAATAGGAAAAGAAATTTATTTCTGTAAAATACTCATTTATATTATTTTATGTATATACTTTTTTTTCAATGAATAGCTTTTTTAGTGCTCCTGTGATTTCGTGGCTTCAAACATTTATTACTGACGAAGTAACTATACATCATTTTCAAGGTAAAGTTTGCTTTATATCACTCAATATCGCAGCAGATGTTTTAAGATACGGGTGTATGCTGAAGAATAAGAAGAAGAAGAAGACATACACCTTTGTTATCTGCTCGTTAGTCACAAGAGTAACTCAGTAGTCGTTCGATTTGATAGTTACTGTGGCAAATTTTAATCGATTCTCCCCCGGGCGATAATCTATTTTTTTTATAAGAGTAAATTGAAATAGAATTGCAAGATGGAGATGCATACTCGATAGTTTTTTCCTCTTCCTATACAAATACGTGTTCTTCGACCATAGAAAAGTTTTCTTTTGTATAATAAAATATGTTAATATTGCTCTGCATCTGTTTTTTTCATGGTCGTCCGATTGAAACTGCTTCGCCGTGAATTATTTTAAGGCCTTTTTTTTCTGTCGTAGACGTTAGATGCATATTACTCAGCAGTAAACGGTTTTTTTTCTTTACTTTTTTTGATTATTCATTGTCTGATGAATGTATAGGTAAGAATATATATATAAAGAAAGAAAAATAGACGCTTGAATATGATTCTTTTTTTGCTTTCATATTTCATTGCTTCTGCTGTTTTTAAAAGACAGAAAGCAAATCTACATACGCTGTCTACTATTATTTGTAGTGAGTTTTTATAACAAATTCTGCTCAAAGCAATGCCAAACATTATTCGTATCATATTACTCATTGTATCTATTGTAGTGACCCTTCTTTTATTTATCTATCATTTGTATTCATTTTATCAATATACGAAGAAAGGCAAATATCGCTATGAAAGTATTACTAATCACACATATATGGTAGTAAAACATGGACATCAGAAAGACGACTGTACACTTGTTGGAACAACGTACAGTTATGGTGAAGTCGACTGGCTTGTTATACGTAGTAAAAGACATTTTTTATTTTTATTTTGTTTCTGGGGAGCATTGATGTTGGCATTTATTAACAGTATTGTTGGTTCTATTCTCGAATACATGCACAAAGAAAATATTCATGGTTGTACTAAATTTCTTCGTATTTTACGATCAGTTCTCTATAAAAGTTCCATGAGTATTCCAGTGATGGTTTTATTTGCATTCAATTATGTAACACCCTGTTTACAATTACGAGCAACAACATTTATGATCTTTTCGAATATGTTTACATATATCGTATTAGCAATTCAATTTCCTATCTTACTTGTTGTTTCTATTGATGTACTTTACGAATTCTATATTTGGAAACCTAACGCTACTTATCGTCTTGTGCGAGGTACGATGAAAAATCAACCGACTGGCATGAAAATATTTCAAATTATTCT